CAATTAAACCAGATGCGTTATTATCTATAATAAAAAAAACATGCAAGGGACAACTTAAAGGCCCAATGGTGATTCAGTCTCTATGTGGACTTAGCCCATTGCCGTGGTGCACTCTCCTCGCCACCTCGCAGCCTCATACCCACGGCACCTGCCATGTCCTGGTGGCCACCCAAGCATGTAAGAGCCAGGCTCAGCCCTCGCTGGCTTCTAGGACCCGGTGAGGTGGAGCGCATTCAAGGCGAGTTGGTTGCACACATGTACGTATAATTTATTTCGCACCGTGCGCGGCCATCCGCACTAATCGGAGTTGCGGGGGAAGGACAACAAACGAAACACAAATAGACGTTCCAAAAAAACGGAGTTTTCAGTCTAGATTTAATAGTGCGTAGCTGCCAGTGGCTTCCTAATATCGGAAGGAAGAGCGTTCCAGACGGCCGCGGAAGTGCGTCTGGAAGCGCTCGATGCGGCGACCGCTCTTTGTTCGACGGTTGGCCAAAAGCCGCTGCCGCTGCGACGATGACCGGAGTTCGCGTGATGACGGTTTACGCAAAATGTACGTGGCGTGTGAAATGGTATTCAGCTGCCCTCAGTTACCTGAACTTGGTTCGGGAAACCTCATCCGTGGCCACCGCGCATCGACAGCGGTCTGAGCCGCTGGTGACGAGGATTTGGACTGCCGAGTGCCGAGGGGGAGTCGAGTGGCGGGACGCTGCCGATGGCACGACGCCCGGCGCCACGCGGTGTCTGCGGACGCGTCGAAGGGCGCGCCGTGAAACACATCGAGCAGACCTCGACTCGGCGCGTGCAGCCGTCAACAGTTGCGGTGAGCGAGTCGTAATCGGCTGGAAACGCAAGCGTCAGGGACTTGCGCCGGCCTCGGTGCAGAGAGGCACGGGCCTGGAAAGCTTCTTCCGCTCTCATCGCCAACGAGCGCTGTTCCCGCAAAGCGCCAAGTGGGATTCATCGCCGCTCCGAAGGACCATCGCTCGAAACGTCTGCAAAACATGTGACTGTGGGCTTTTCCTCTTACAAAGGCAGCGTTCTGCATTGATGGTAGTGGCAGAGACTTTCGACCTGTAAACACAATAAATGCATTAATACACAATGTTCAGGGTGTACGAAGCAATCTAATAACGTGACCCAAGTCTACCAGCCATGCACCATAATAAGTACGTATCAGACAAATTGGGATCGCACATATATGCAAACATGGGCAGTGGTGTATGGCGGAAGCGCTGTGAACTTGCGAGTCGTGGGACCACTACAACGAACTCCACAGAGTAACCAGCATGGTGTGATAGAGGGGGCTGTGGCACCGCGGTTATAATGCGGCGCTCTGAAGCCGGTTGCCCGAGTTCGAATCCTGACCACAGCTCCCATCAGTGGTGGTATCAGATGCAATGCTGCTCGCCGCCTATCACTGCGGCAATCGCTAGCAGTGCCTCGCGTCGCTCCACGTGGTTTGGCCACGCCAGACCCGTAAGGTCCGCAAAGCCCCCGTGAAAATAAAACCACGCAACACGAATGTATTTGTGCACTGTGCGTTGAAGTGATCTCGCACCGCACGTAGCCAGCCGTGCTAATCGGAGGTGCGCGGGGGGTGGCCGCTTGAGGGGCAGGAGACAGCCGTCGTCAAGAAGCCCTCTTGGCTCTTGCACCGACGGGGTTGAGGTATCAGGAGGCTGGAGAAAGTGTCACCAGAGCCCGGTCTCCTGTATCCACCGCAGGCCCCAAGGGACACCCGATCCACCAGCTGTGTGGGGTTCGATCGAACCGTGTCCTACCGCACCCACAATCGCCGTCTTCCAAATCGACGAACCGTCACTCGCTCGCTCGAGGCGCGCGTGTGATGGCTCTACTGCCCGTGGCGTATGGGCGGTGGGTGTCTTCTTCTACTTCAAGACTGGCAGTGACTCGATGGGTGCACGTTGAGAGCGCGGGACGCAACGTTTTGCACCAGATGCCGAGTGCAGGAGAGAAGAAGCCACCACCGCTCATCGTCGCCGGCTCCACGACCACGCTTCCTCTGGGCGGGTTGGCAGCAATGCCCACGGGTCGGTTCAGGAGAATTGCGCGTGGTTTGATTTGTTGTCGTTGTCGTTGTTGACATTTTACGGGTGAAAACGCCGATGCTGCTTTTGGTACTGAATCTTGCACTGCGCAGGGCAGGACATCGTGTGGGTAGGCAAATAATACGCCGAGATGGTCAGGCGTCCTGATCGGTGACCCCGCTGAGCGGGTGTCCAGGATTAGATCGCCACACGAAGATTCACCCCCCCCCCACCCACCCACTACTCAGCATCTAAGCTCCCGGCTCTTGGTCTGTGGAGATCAGATTATCACAGCCCGTGGCTCAGAGCTGCAGCAGCAGCAGCTGCAGCAGCAGCAGTAGCAGCAGCAGCTGCAGCAGCTGTAGCAGCAGCAGCAGCTTGTCCACGGCTTGAAGTCAAGCTGGGGGCACGTGTTGCAGCAGGGGCACGGCTCCACAATTCAAATCAATTAGTAAATGTTATCTTCTCATCATTGTAGTCAAGGACAATTATTAACGGGTATTAATATCAAGAATCCCGAGGGTACAGACACCACGGATGAATCGGTAGTAGTTGAATATTAAAAGCGCGGGTCAGTCAATATGGGAACCACATCGCTGTCAACCCATGCGGTTTAGACGCATTCTTGAGCAGGGAAATTGAGTTTTCAGGTCCATGCGGCGGACAACCGTTTCAACACGTGTCTCTGTTCGTGTGTTTCTCTCTTGTGATGGCACTTTGTCGGATGAGCGTTGAGATGTATAAGGGGCACGGGCTGACCAATTAAATGGATCTGTAGCAAGGGGAGGGCACTGATCAGGAGTTGACAGGTTACGGCACCACGAGCACGAGGCCCACTTTGACTGGGGGTGGTGTCACTGCGGCTTGACCCGTGGCAGCATTGAGGCCCCTTGCACCGCAGAGCTGCGAGGGAGAGTCGCTAGGTGAATGTGCATTGCCGGTGTCAGCGGTTTGTTGCGATGATAACCCCGAGTGTTAACGTCTACGTGGGAAGTTATCACTTCGTCTAAAGCGTGTTCTTTTACAACAACAACAACACAGCCCTCTCTTGCAGAGGTGAAGAGCCGATTTGGGGTTTTTGTTTGGGACTGCAGAGCCCAGTGTTGAGCGTCATCGAGTCCCTGTTTGTGCGCGCCGTCAAATAATAATAAAAACAATGAAATGCTGAACGGACTTGGATTTTTTTTTGTCCGCAGACGTCTCATCAATTGAATTGACAAGCCACGTGACTTGGCCACTGCGAGGGTGGCGATGCGAGAGGGAAGGCGATGCTGATGCTGCAATCACATTGGCAATGCCCGTCACAACCATCATCGATCCCGCTGGCAATCATCGATCCCGCTGGCAATCATCGATGCCTCGCACTCATCACCCGCCCTGGCCGCGGTAGCTCCACTGGGGGGCTGGAGGGGGGGGGGGCTACTGCTGGAGGGATGGAGGGGGGGGGCTACTGCTGGAGGGGGGGGGGGGGCTACTGCTGGAGGGATGGAGGGGGGGGCTACTGCTGGAGGGGGGGGGGGGCTACTGCTGGAGGGATGGAGGGGGGGGGGCTACTGCTGGAGGGGGGGGGGCTACTGCTGGAGGGATGGAGGGGGGGGCTACTGCTGGAGGGGGGGGGGCTACTGCTGGAGGGATGGAGGGGGGGGCTACTGCTGGAGGGGGGGGGCTACTGCTGGAGGGATGGAGGGGGGGGCTACTGCTGGAGGGGGGGGGGCTACTGCTGGAGGGATGGAGGGGGGGGCTACTGCTGGAGGGGGGGGGGGCTACTGCTGGAGGGGGGGGGGGGCTACTGCTGTAGGGATGGAGGGGGGGGCTACTGCTGGAGGGGGGGGGGGCTACTGCTGGAGGGGGGGGGGCTACTGCTGTAGGGATGGAGGGGGGGGCTACTGCTGGAGGGGGGGGGGGGCTACTGCTGGAGGGAGGGGGGCTACTGCTGGAGGGGGGGGGGGCTACTGCTGGAGGGATGGAGGGGGGGGCTACTGCTGGAGGGGGGGGGGCTACTGCTGGAGGGGGGGGGCTACTGCTGGAGGGGGGGGGGGCTACTGCTGGAGGGATGGAGGGGGGGGCTACTGCTGTAGGGATGGAGGGGGGGGCTACTGCTGGAGGGGGGGGGGGCTACTGCTGGAGGGATGGAGGGGGGGGGGCTACTGCTGGAGGGATGGGGGGGGGGCTACTGCTGGAGGGGGGGGGGCTACTGCTGGAGGGATGGAGGGGGGGGGGCTACTGCTGGAGGGGGGGGGGCTACTGCTGGAGGGATGGAGGGGGGGGGCTACTGCTGGAGGGATGGAAACTACTGGACATCTGTGAAAAAGAGCTTCATCGCTCATCGGATTCCTCCAATTAACATTAAGATTTTGATTCAACTTCTTGGTTCTTTCGGTAAAGTCACGTAGAAGGGAAGTAATAAAATAATAAAAATAAAACATAATAAAATAAAAAAATTGTATTGTTTTATTTTTATTATTTTATTACTTCCCTTCTACGTGACTTTACCGAAAGAACCAAGAAGATGAATCCCTGCAGTCACGAAAGCTTCAAATCGAAAATTTTGATTCAACTTGTTACACAACAACCATTACCGGCTGTGAATGCTCGCGGATCCTTGAGTGAGTGTCAGTGCAAATGCTTGCGGACCCTTGAGGAAGCTTAACGTGTAAATGGTCGCGGACCCTTGAGTGAGTGTCGGTGTAAATCCTCGCGGACCCTGTAGTGAGGTTGAAGTGTAAATGGTCGCGGACCCTTTGGTGAGTGTCGGTGTGAATGCTCGCGGACCCTTTAGTGAGGTTGAAGTGTAAATGCTCGCGGACCCTTACGTGAGGTTGAAGTGTAAATGCTCGCGGACCCTGTAGTGGGTTTCGGTGTGAATGCTCGCGGACCCTGTAGTGAGGTTGAAGTGTAAATGGTCGCGGCCCCTTGAGTGAGTGTCGGTGTGAATGGTTGCGGACCCTTGAGTGTCGGTGTGAATGTTCGCGGACCCTTGCGTGAGTGTCGGTGTGAATGCTCGCGGACCCTGGGGGCAGTGCGAGGCAGCTGGAGCAGCAGCAGCAGCGATGCCGCCGGGCCGCGCGCTGCTCCTGAGGCTGCGGCAGCTCGACGCCTACCCCAAGCCCCTGGACGACTTCAGGGTGAAGACGTTCGGGGGCGCCGCGGGTGAGGAGACCGAACACGACCACTCACCCGTCTACCCACCCACTCACTCACCCCACTCACTCACCCACTCACTCACTCACCCACTCACCCACCCAGCCACTCACTCACCCGTTTACTCATCCACTCACTCACCCACTCACTCACCCACCCACTCACCCGTCTACCCACTCGCTGACCCACTCACTCACCCGTCTACCCACCCACTCACCCACCCACTCACCCGTCTACCCGCTCACCCATTTACCTACTCATTCTCCCGCCCACTCACCCACTCACTCACCCACCCACCCAGCCACCCAGCCACCCACCCAGCCACCCAGCCACCCACCCACCCACTGACTCACTCACCCACCCAGCCACCCACTCACTCACCCACCCAGCCACCCACCCAGCCACCCACCCACCCAGCCACTCACCCAGCCACCCACCCAGCCACCTACTCACTCACCCACCCAGCCACCCACCCAGCCACCCAGCCACCCACCCAGCCACTCACCCAGCCACCCACCCAGCCACCTACTCACTCACTCACCCAGCCACCCACCCAGCCACCTACTCACTCACCCGCCCAGCCACCCACTCAGCCACCCAGCCACCCACCCAGCCACCTACTCACTCACCCACACAGCCACCCACCCACCCAGCCACTCGCCCAGCCACCTAATCACTCACCCACCCACCCAGCCACTCACCCAGCCACCCACCCAGCCACCTACTCACTCACCCACCCACCCAGCCACCCAGCCACCCACCCACCCAGCCACTCACCCACCCACCCAGCCACCTACTCACTCACCCACAGCACCAGCCACCCACCCAGCCACCTACTCACTCACCCACCCACCCAGCCACCCACCCAGCTACCCACTCACTCACCCACCCAGCCACCCAGCCACTCACCCACCTACCCAGCCACTCACCCACCCACTCACCCACCGTCCTCCCCATCGGTGTGCGTGCCGATCACTTCGATTTCTCACGTGACGCAGTTGCTTTTGCACCCATTTCTGTCCGCTTCATTGCTGCACCTCTGTGTGTTTTGAGTTATCGTAGTGACAACCCCTCGGCATCACGCTCGCAATGAGACTCCCACTCTGAGTGCTCCCGTGGGTTCAGCGAATCAGCCAGGCATCTTCCCGGCACAGCTGGGCCCTAAAGATCCTGCCGCGGTCTTCCCGAGGCAGCCGGCAAGTGTCTCTGTGGCCCCATGAGCCTCGAGGTGGCTAAGAGATGTTAACTACCTCCCGACCCTGACGCCTGCTGCTGTATATTTGGAGTTTGCGTCTCTCTCTCTCATCATCATCATCACGGTGGCTAGGAGATGTTGACTACCTGCATGCTGCTCTGTATATTGGAGTTGTGTCGTCATCCTCCTCTCCTTCATCATCATCACGGTGGCTAGGAGATGTTGACTACCTCGCCTGGTGTGCAGGAGGTCGTGGGTTCGACGCCTGCTGCTGTATATTTGGAGTTTGCGTGTCTCTCTCATCATCATCACGGTGGCTAGGAGATGTTAACTACCTCGCCTGGTCTACAGGAGGTCGTGGGTTCGATCCCGACCCTGACGCCTGCTGCTGTATATTTGGAGTTTGCGTCTCTCTCTCATCATCATCTTCGTCATGGTGGCTAGGAGATGTCAACTACCTCTCTTGGTATACAGGAGGTCGTGGGTTCGATCCCGACCCTGACTCCTGTATATTTGGAGTTTGCGTGTCTCTCTCTCCATGGTCGTGTGAATTTTTTCTCCGGATGCTCCGGTTTTCCCCTCTGCATTTAGAATCAACATCACGCGTTTAGAGTGTTGGGCTGCTATAAATTTCTGCACATGACGATTAGCCACTTCGTTGAGCTATCACTTGTGATGACCAGGTAGCTTCTGAAAAAAAGAGCTATTATAGTTCAGTGGGTCTTCCCAGCTAAACTAAAAGTAGCTTTAGTTTGTTTTTAGTTCATACTCTCGTTCACAGTTTGTGAGACGCGTGTTTACATCGTTCCCACAGAGAGCTCCTCTTATCCGCCGCGGTGACACGGGGAGCGAGTCAGGGAAGAGTCGTATCGCGGATCCTATAAGCCGCCGAGTTGTTCCGTGATCTACTCTTGTGTCCGCGAGGTAAAGCTACGTGGGTAACTGCGGCGGATCATCGGACACGAATTTGGCTCGACCCTTTTATTTATCCGTGAAGAAAAAGTCGTAGATAATAGAATGCCTTTCCGCACAGAGTAGCGGATAACGGCGGATAACTCGCGGATGATGCGCAATGAATGGGACGGCGCGTTGTACGAGTATTATTCGTGGATCCTACAGATGCCACAAATATTCGGAGTCGCGGGTAATATTCACGGTTGTTTACATCGGCGAAGTATCGCGTGCGTGACTAACGGCACAACTCAGCAATAGGTCCCTGGAGTTGACCCGTACAGGAGTCGGTAGTTCAGGCTGGTCCCGACCCGCTGGGCCGGTCGGTGACGGACCGCCGCTGACGACCACTCGCCCACTGAGCTCTCAGGTGGCCGGGTTCACAGCGCAGCGTGAGAGACACCGCCGCCGCCGTGCCTGCGGTTTGCGTAACGTCTCGATTCTGACGTCCTGGTTTTTTTCTCGCAGTCACCATCGTGAGCGGCCTCATCATGTCGGTGCTCTTCCTGTCGGAGCTGCAGTACTACCTCACTAAAGAGGTAACCGCCACCGCCACGGGGCCGAATGCCGCGTCGACCCGCACGGTGGCCACGCCAAGTGTCGAACGCCCGCTGTGTTTTAGCCACCCGGGCTTGCAGCTTCCCACACCCCATCGCCACGCTCCCACAACCCCCTTTTCATTATTTTGTTCAGAAGAAGAGCCACTCCTTGTTGTTTAGCAGTTTCCGGCCCCGAGTAGAGGACTGTCCACCCCTCGTGGTGGCTGGAGCCAGAGCCAGTCCACCGGACCTCCTGAACACCGCATAGATGTAGGCAGTACCGGTCCAGCTTCCGACAGAGGAGTGGCAGCCTCTCCTCCGCAGTGAGCATTCGAACATTCCACGTGGCCACTCACAGTGGCTTTTCACTGTTTCTGGAGGAACCCCGAGGGTAAGGATTCAGCCTCCTGGCTCCAAATTGAGATGTCATAGACCCCTGTCCCCCTGGGGCCTCTGGCACAAAGATCCCTCATATAGCCTGTAACAGGCTTTTGGTGCAAGTGCTGTTAGCACACACACCCCATGAGAGGCAGGAGCTGTGCTCCGCGCCAGCTGTGCGCGTCCGGTTCTGTGCCGTGCTTGTGACCCCCGTGCGTGCCCCCCCCCGTGTGTGTGCCCCCCCCTCGTGCGTGACCCCCGTGCGTGACCCCCCCCCCGTGCGTGCCCCCCGTGCGTGACCCCCCCTCGTGCGTGACCCCCGTGCGTGACCCCCCCCCCCCGTGCGTGACCCCCCCCTCGTGCGTGACCCCCGTGCGTGACCCCCGTGCGTGACCCCCCCCCCGTGCGTGACCCCCCCCCCCCTTGCGTGACCCCTGTGCGTGACCCCCCCCCCCCGTGCGTGACCCCCCCCCCCTTGTGCGTGCCCCCGTGCGTGCCCCACGTGCGTGCCCCCACGTGCGTGCGTTCTCTCGCCCAGGTGCACCCGGAGTTGTTTGTGGACACGACGCGCGGAGACAAGCTGAGGATCAACTTGGACGTGGTCTTCCCCCGCATGGCGTGCGCGTGTGAGTGACGGGCGCCGTCTGTCCGCGCGACCGCACGGGTAGAGTCAGAATGATTGTTTATTTTTTTATTTTTACAAAGTTTTTATCGGAACAAAACGCGAGCTCGAAAAGTTCCGGTTAACGGGGGTCGCAGAATCTCCGCGGTCATTAAAGTCGGCGCAATGGAACCGCACGAAAGGGGGTAGAAAGAAGCGGAATAGAGCCCCCCCCCCCCCTCCCCACCGCTGCGGTCCCGGTCAAGTGGGGACCTGGCGTTAGGGGGAAGATGGAGATTTAAATGGGGAGGGAAAACTGGGGAGGGGAGAGGAAGAATAATCAAGCCGGAGATGGGGGGGGGGGGATGGGCAGGGGGGGGAGAAGGGAAAAGGAGGGGAGGAGGTGGGGAGTGAAAATTAAATAATAGTTTCTCTACATTTGGTGTTCGTGCCGTTCTCAATAGCACAACGCAACCGTGAGAGCGCCGGCCGGCAATTGTCGCATCACGAAGCAGTGGACAAACCACGCACACGTCTGGTGTGGGGAGTCTGTGTGTGGGATGTGTGTCTGTCGGCTGTGTGTGTGGGACGTGTGTGTGTCGGCTGTGTGTGTGGGACGTGTGTGTGTCGGCTGTGTGTGTGGGACGTGTGTCTGTCGGCTGTGTGTGTAGAGCGTGTGTGTGTGTAGAGCGTGTGTGTGTCGGCTGTGTGTGTAGAGCGTGTGTCTGTAGGCTGTGTGTGGGACGTGTGTCTGTAGGCTGTGTGTGTGGAGCGTGTGTCTGTAGGCTGTGTGTGTAGAGCGTGTGTGTGTGTAGAGCGTGTGTGTGTGTCGGCTGTGTGTGTGGGACGTGTGTGTGTCGGCTGTGTGTGTAGAGCGTGTGTCTGTAGGCTGTGTGTGTAGAGCGTGTGTCTGTAGGCTGTGTGTGTAGAGCGTGTGTCTGTAGGCTGTGTGTGTAGAGCGTGTGTCTGTAGGCTGTGTGTGTAGAGCGTGTGTCTGTAGGCTGTGTGTGTAGAGCGTGTGTCTGTAGGCTGTGTGTGTGGAGCGTGTGTCTGTAGGCTGTGTGTGTGGAGCGTGTGTCTGTAGGCTGTGTGTAGAGCGTGTGTCTGTAGGCTGTGTGTGTAGAGCGTGTGTCTGTAGGCTGTGTGTGTAGAGCGTGTGTCTGTAGGCTGTGTGTGTAGAGCGTGTGTCTGTAGGCTGTGTGTGTAGAGCGTGTGTCTGTAGGCTGTGTGTGTGGAGCGTGTGTCTGTAGGCTGTGTGTGTAGAGCGTGTGTCTGTAGGCTGTGTGTGTGGAGCGTGTGTCTGTAGGCTGTGTGTGTGGAGCGTGTGTCTGTAGGCTGTGTGTGTGGAGCGTGTGTCTGTAGGCTGTGTGTGTAGAGCGTGTGTCTGTAGGCTGTGTGTGTAGAGCGTGTGTCTGTAGGCTGTGTGTGTAGAGCGTGTGTCTGTAGGCTGTGTGTGTAGAGCGTGTGTCTGTAGGCTGTGTGTGTAGAGCGTGTGTCTGTAGGCTGTGTGTGTAAAGCGTGTGTCTGTAGGCTGTGTGTGTAGAGCGTGTGTCTGTAGGCTGTGTGTGTAGAGCGTGTGTCTTTAGGCTGTGTGTGTGGAGCGTGTGTCTGTAGGCTGTGTGTGTGGAGCGTGTGTCTGTAGGCTGTGTGTGTGGAGCGTGTGTCTGTAGGCTGTGTGTGTGGAGCGTGTGTCTGTAGGCTGTGTGTGTGGAGCGTGTGTCTGTAGGCTGTGTGTGTAGAGCGTGTGTCTGTAGGCTGTGTGTGTAGAGCGTGTGTCTGTAGGCTGTGTGTGTAGAGCGTGTGTCTGTAGGCTGTGTGTGTAGAGCGTGTGTCTGTAGGCTGTGTGTGTAGAGCGTGTGTCTGTAGGCTGTGTGTGTAGAGCGTGTGTCTGTAGGCTGTGTGTGTAGAGCGTGTGTCTGTAGGCTGTGTGTGTAGAGCGTGTGTCTGTAGGCTGTGTGTGTAGAGCGTGTGTCTGTAGGCTGTGTGTGTAGAGCGTGTGTGTGTGTAGAGCGTGTGTGTGTGTAGAGTGTGTGTCTGTAGGCTGTGTGTGCGGGACGTGTATCTGTCGGCTGTGTGTGTCAGCTGTGTAAACACCGATAGCTGCTGTGTTCTCAGCTTAATGATCCCCTCTGCACACACAAGTGCCGGTTAATAACCCTGAACAACCCGTTCGTGTATTAGAGTAAACACATTTTTTTTTTGATCTCTACATGAAAGTGAAATTTTAATGCATCGGCCAATGTACGTGCACCAGCAATATTTGTTTAAGCACACAAACCTCTCACTGGTGTTGAGCTTGGTTTAATCAGCGGGCATACTGAACCATTGCTCACAATTCTGGCCACGTACCTCGTGACGCCGGCCGTAACTCCCGGCGAAGTGTCCATGCCCGGTTGGTAAACGCCGGGCGCGGGATCGCTCTCCGGCAGCGCTCGCGGTCGCGCCGCCGAAGCGGTCGTAGATCGGCACGTTCGTTCGTGATGCCACAACTTTGCCAGTCGGTTGTGTCAGGTTCGAGGAGGCTCTACGGCACGCTGCGTCACGTGCTGCGAGTGAGCACCTGGCGGTTCGGCGGGCGGGTTTCTCTCTCTAACAAACCTGGTGGTGGTTAAAGTCGCTCCCGAGTTCGGACACGTGTGGCTGGATGACGTCGGTCTGGACAAGCAAGAGGCCGTTGAACTCAAGAACGTAATATCTATTTAATTTTAATGCGGAGAGAGACGAACGGAAGTCCGCTTATCAACTTCATCGCCCATAATGCTCCACGATAACTCATTGGGTAGGGGGTGACATATATTTGTCCCATCAACTCGGGCTTCTTGGCTCGAGCGCAGTGCCTTGTCTGCGGTAACGTCCGGAGCGAGGCATGCTCGTGCACGCCAAGCCGGTTAAGGGTGTGTGTGTGTGTGCACTAGCAAGCCATGCGCAGCATCGTAAGCGATCCTTAACCCTTTCCCTGTTCCGAGACGTCAACAAGTTGCAGGGTGCGGTGTCCCGTTCACCGCTGCATCTCGGAGCGCTCAAGCAGCTCGGCGCGAATTCTATTTAAAGCGGCGTTACGGCGTTGATGTTAAAGACACTGGACTCGCCGCATAGAACCGTAACGATACGACCACCGCACTCGACGGTAGTTGGCGCCAAACTGTGCCGCACACCCCTCTCCCACCACACGGCCTTCTACTTCCGATTCTGTTCTGAATCGATTCTGTTCTGATGACGTACACGTACGATGACGTAGACAAACGTCATGGGAACGGGAAACGGTTCATAAATTAGCGTTGAAAGTATTAGAATGGAGACGTCGTGAGCTTGAGCGGTCGTGGGTTTTTGTGTTGGTGTCTGGCCGCGCGTCGTGCAGTCCTGAGCCTGGACGCGATGGACGTCTCCGGGGAGACGCAGATCGACGTTGAGCACACGCTCTTCAAGAAGCGCCTCGACGCACGCGGGCAGCCCGTGGCGGCCGAGGAGGAGAAGCACGGTACGGGCACGTGCGGCAGCGTCGGAGCCAGTGGCTCGTGCACACGACCTGTGTGGATGGGAGCCGCTGGCTCGTGCACACGGCTTCTGCTGTCCTTACGCCCTGCATCCTGCACAGGCGCAAGCACTCGACCAACAGGCTCCGGGGAATGTTCGTCAATGTGAAGTGTGCGTGGAGTGTCTCTGTAGTGAACAACTCGGTGCTCAACAAATCTTGAGTGCCTCCGGTTCAATTCCCAGTCTTGCTCACCAGTGCCATTTCGTGTCTAAGCATGGGCAGCGGCTACCCCCTAGGTTTGCTCAGCTTGAAACGAGCCGGCGTTGCGGTGTGGACCGTATCGGCGTTAGGGACGCGATGGCGGCTGTAATGTGCCCTCGTGAGAGGCGCTTGCTGATTAAGTCATCCATCTCTCGGATTGGTTTGACCACGCGACTCATCGCACAACACGCACCTTCAGTTAGCACGGTGGGTTACGTTACGGTGCGCAGGAAACAAAAAACATAACTCTGATAATGTATGCACTGTCCTTGAAGTTTTGACGTCATCTGGTCCAACACCATGTGAGACTAGGCGCTAAGGAATGCTGTCTCGGGTGTGGACCAATCAACTTCAAGGACAGTGCATACATTATCAGAGTTGTGTTTTTTGTTTGCATTATGACTGCAGGTATTGTGGTCTATGCAAACATGACTCCTCGTAAAAAAAAGGTGTCAGTTTTGTTGCCAGATAAAAGGGTAAAAAACCAATGATCATATTTTTCTACTGGCAAATGAGGTTCCAATGGTGTGCAGAAAGTTTAACGGACACACGTGCATGGAAACGGTTGGGAAAAAGTCTCGCCTCTATACCCATGCGTGTGCCGCTGGTCGGGTGGTGGTGGGCAGAGCTCGGTGACGTCATTGGCATTGTGGGCCGCTGCACGTTGGGCGTGGCTTGTGGGGGTTTCCTGCCTTCGGGAGGCAGGATGTCGGGTCGGCCCCCCGTATTTTAAAGGGGCTTGAGTAATCGGTCAGACGGAGTCGATTGCAATGCTTTAGATAATTGATCGGCTCAATCGGCCGTTCTCCCCGGCCCTGTCCGCTGATGGCGGTGTTCATGACAGCCCGTTGCGCAATGAGGGAGGTGCCGACTTCGGTTTCACGTTTGTGGGGGATGAGACCGTTGAAAGTAAGTGCATCAGACGCTTGCCCGTCGAGGGCGTTACGTTCTTGAAAGGAGCTGCGGTCGGAAAATCCGCGATCTGCAAACTCCAAAGGCAAATGGGAAACCTGGGGTGTGGTCCACACCAACCCAACACATTAAACGGGAAGTATTTTAATGTAAAATTTCATTTATCTTGTACGGAAAATGTATAGAATGAAAAAAAATGTGGCGTACAATACAGTAAAACCTTGGATTGCGAGCAGAATTCGTTCCGGAAACGTGTTTGTAATCCAAAGCACTCGTATATCAGTTGTGATCACGTGACGCTCGGCAGACAAAGCGTAGACACGTACTACAGTACTTGGATTGCAAGACCTCGCTCGTTTATCAAAAGAATATTTACTTAAAATTTTTGCTCGTCTTGCAAAACACTGGCAGGCCAAGTTACTCGCAATCCAAGGTTTTGCTGTACTGTACATGTGTCTGTGTAAAGTACTGTCGACGGCAGTCTGGCGGCTGAACCTCACTGTCTCCTCGCTGGAGGCCGGCAACACCACATGACCTGGGGCCTGTGACGGGCCGCTTGGGAGACGCGTTGTAAACAAGATGGCGCGTGTGTTCCCTATTAGTTACGTATTTATTTAAGGTCATTCGTGAAACAGGTGTTCGTCGGCCAGTATCGCTACGTGACGACGCGCGACGCGGTGCTCAGCTGCTTTGCGTGCGACTGTGAGTGCAGAAATCGGGAAGCTGGAGGAGATCCCAGACCCCACCGCACTCGACCCCAACCGATGCGAGAGCTGCTACGGGGCCAACGGCACCGACCTGCAGTGAGAGACGCCCCTCCCTTCCCTCCTTTTTTTTTTAAACGATCAGACGAGAAAGATGCTCGGTCTTTCGGCACTTTACTTCGTTCATCATGTCGTTTTTGTTTGTATTTTTTTTGTTTGCTTATGTGCTCCCTTTTTTAATCAAAGATATAACGCGGGTTTCCCGTGTAACATTAGTCCCATTGTGTGTTACTGTGTTCATAGACACCAACAAGAAACACAAATTAACCCTCAAAAACCCATCACCAGATCCCCTGTTGCTGCGCTACCAGCACCATAGCGGCGAAGGCACCTGCCTGACCTCCCTCCCGCCCTCCCTCCCTCCTGCCCTCCCTCCCTCCCTCCCTCCCTCTTCGTCCCTCTTCGTCCCTCCTCCACATTCCCTCCGTCGTCGTCCGGACGCTGCTTCGTACTCTTGCCGGCGAACGGCACGTGCGCGGGCGCGTATGACGAAACTAAGCACAACAATTAGTTTGTCGGTATAGATGGTATTAAAGTGTGTAGCCCCAGTGGCTTCCTCATCTCGGAAGGTGGAAGAGCGTTGCAGAAGGCCGCAGAAGCCCAGCCGAACGCGCGCGATCCGGTGACCGCCTTTCTTCGATGGCAACGCGGCATTGGAACCCATCGCACCCTCAAGATGATTCGAGTTCATCTCGAAATGTGTTTCCCTTTTGCTTTTGAAAAACAAATTCCCATTTTGACTCGGGGCCGTTCTTGGAGCTCGCCGCCACCACCGCCACCACCGCCGGCACCGCCACCGCCACTACTACAACAACCACAGTCTGCCTGGCATTGACGAGCGGTGTCCGTGCTCGCGTCGCCCCAGGTGCTGCAACACGTGCGACGACGTGCGGGAGGCCTACCGGCGGAAGGGATGGGCCTTCAAGAACCCCGAGGTGATCGAGCAGTGCCGGCGCGAGGGTTTCTCCAACAAGGTCCGCGAGCAGAAGGACGAGGGCTGCCGCGTCTACGGGCACCTGGAGGTGAACAAGGTGAGCGCCATCCACGCGCCGGACCCCACGCGGACCGCGCCGAACGGATTGCTGCTGGGCATATATCATAAAGAGCTTTGTAGCTCATCGGATTCCTCCGATATAAATACAGGTTCTGATTGCGGATTCACCGATGCGCCGATTCTCCGAGGCTCACGGTAAACACGCGTTGCATCGTACGAGAGAGTGTTCGAATGCGAAGTCTGGTGAGAACCCAAGAGACCGCTCCTAGACTGTATTCGTTTAAAGTTTCTATAACTCAATTGCAATTGCGCTGTGATGGGTCTAAACATTAATCTGCCCCAGCCGTCTCCCGCTCCAGGGAATTTATCGTTGAGCGCCGATTCTCGTTCGCGCAGTGTTCTCGACGCAGGTGATTACACCCCGATTTGTATTTATATTTATGTACGTGTGTTGTAAAACTGGAGGAAGCCATTTCCACAAACACACAATGAGCATGCTGGTCCACGTCCGAATCTCGGTGTACGTATCTGTATTAAACTGCTTTCGCACCGTACGTAGCCAACCTGAGGTGTTGCATCGCCGCAATTTATTTGTTTGTCCGCAGGTGGCAGGCAACTTCCACTTTGCTCCTGGGAAGAGCTTTCAGCAGGCTCACATCCACGGTAAGGCCGCCGCGTCGCACTCACCGGAGCACGGCGGCGCCGAGCATGCCGTCACCCGGGCAGCGTCGCGCTGTGCGGGCGGCGAGCGACGGCCGCTCTCTCCCCAGGGCTCATGGTCGCTGGAGCCCTTCGCCTCGGAGGTCTTTTTTTCTCCGATCGTCTTCCTGCTCGTTCGTTGTGGACAGTTTGTGAAACCGGATCCGCGAGCGGCTATGTTTGTTTAGTTCCACTGTTCTCCGCGCTTAAACGATGAGAAAACCCAACGCGACGGAGAAGCGAGTGCGCAGGCCGGACAAAGCTGTCGATTCACGACACGCAGAGACACACATTGGTTCTCGCACCGAAAGGCTTTGCACGTGCGGTGGGCGTTGTGTCTGCTCTGCTTCACCCAGCCGTGCGGGCCCCAAATACACCCCCGATTAGCACGGTTGGCTACGTGCGAAAGAAGTTCAACATACGCACGTACAAATATCCCTTCTCAAGGCTAAATAAACAAATAACAGACAATACGCCTCCTTCAACTAGTTGTCCCTCCACATGTAATCATCCCATCAGCATTACGGCTTTCTGGGAGTGCCATTCATTTTTCATCAGCATTGGTAGAACAAGAAGGAAACTTGACCTGTTTCGTCATTCCCTGTCTCATCATCCGTGGTTCAGGCTCCGCTTCAACCACTGCAGGTGAATTTCTAGATGTTTAGGCGCGGATCCTGTCCCTTAGACATGGGTCTTGTAGTGCGACGAAAAACACAGAGCCAGAGCGAGCTGGTTTCATGCCACCGCTCCTTACCCCGGTTTTGAGTTTTCGTGTGCAGCACGCAAGGTTCCACACGAGAGGGCAGCAGAGGGCTTAGTTTTAACCAAGCTACCGCTTGGTTCAGAGGTATTCGGTGCATGCAACGCATTTGCGGCGCAGTGACCCAAGGGCAAAGATGCTGTGTGATTGCTTCAACTGCCAAGACGACATCTTAAATGAGACGCTGACACGCGGCAAGTCACAACAACGGCCGTAGCTGGTCTCGCATTGAGACGGTCAAGCCGGTTTGGAAGCGAGTGGGAGAATAAAAGTTTGTTGTTCTGTGTGTGTGGGACCGAACACCAAAACCATGCGCCACGTAACTTCGCGCTGCCCCGAATATGAAGGCGATGAGTGGGTGCAATTCACCTACTCGGACAAAGCTAAATAACGGCCGAATCGTTTCCCCTGAATCGTACATATGTATGGTTGCATGCATGTATGTTGAACGTCCTGTGCACCGTACGTAGCCAACCGTGCTAATCGGAAGTGCGGGGGGAAGAACAACAAACGAAAACACAAAGCAGTTCCAAAAAAATTAGTTTTAAATCTAGACGATCAAAAGTGCATAGCTTCAGTGGCTTCCTAATATCGGAAGGAAGAGCGTTCCAGACGACCGCAGATACGTATCTGGAAGCGCCGCGCGATGCGGTGACCGTCTTTGTTGGCCGGCCAAAAGCTGCTGCTGCTGCGAGGATGACCAGAGTTCGCATGATGGAGGGATAGTGTTTTGTGACGTCGTGTAAATCATGACAATTGCGGAATCGACGAAAGGGTGGCGAATTTTTCTGCCGCTCCGCTTAGTTTGGCGATGCTGTCCCGCGGCCACGCGAACCTTGGCCGATCCACGCCGGTTAGAGCGGCTTCCACTCTCATTCCACCCTCGCTGAGCTCGTGCCAACGCTCGCAACTGATGGGTGCATTTGTTTGTAATACCGCGTGCGCAGAAAAGACTCAAGTTGTCATCCAAGAACAACTGAAATGATGAAGGGAACGGTATGTAAACCTCGGAGAGATGCGCGCTCGGAATTGCGCTGAGCGACAGACGGGGGAACGTGCGAATTAGAGAAGACGAGCGAGGTTACTGACATCCAAACTGCGAAGAGAATTAAGTGGGCTTGGGCAGGACATGTCGCCAGAAGGGATGATGGTGCGATGGTTAAGGAATAATAACAACAAGAGTGGCAGTCAAGGAATGGAATGCATCTAAGAGGAGATGGAGCGATCAGTTGAGTCCACGTGCACGTGATGGACGGGTTGCTGCATTGCAGGGATCGCGGGAGGCGGCACGTGACGTTGCTGTCGATTGATCGTGGCTGATGATGATGCTGCTTAAGATGATGTATGTACGTCGAACTTATTTCTCACCGTACGTAGCCAGCCGTGGTTAATCAGAATTAAAAAGAATTAAAAGAAACTAAACACAAAAAGCCGTTCCAAAGAAAAATGTAGTTTTCATTCTAGATTTTAAACTGCATCACCTCGGTGGCTTCCTAATGAAAACGTCGATGCGCCGACGTGAACAAACAAAAATAATGGAAGCGGGACAAAGCAACCCTCGGTGGAAAGTGAAACCGTCCGAGGCGCTGGAGCGACGATTTTGCCGTTGCACCCCCCAACGTCCCGGCTTTGAAGCGAGCTCCGGTTTCTCTGCCCTATGCGAGGACCGCGATCGCATGCGGGGGGGGTGGAGGGGGGCAGGGGGGGGGGGCGGAGGGGGGGGGGCGGGGGGACGCCCGCATGCACGACGTCGCTGACGAGCAGCGCTTTGATTTTTGTGAAGAAGAAAGCTGTGGAAGGATCGTGGACGTGACCTCTCCTCGGGGAGTCTAAGTAGAGGTCTCTCTCTCCCTCTCTCCCTCTCTCTCGCTCGGCTTCACGGCCAGGGGTCAGGGTCACCTGCTGCGTTGGGATCTGTGCCCCCCCCCCCCCCCCCCCCATCGATTGAACCCCGTTCCCAAGTGCGTTTGTTTTTAACACCGATGCCCCTCAGCGGTTGTCCAACAAAAACACAGAGAATGTTAATGTTCGCACAATTTTTGCTGGACCCCCAGCTCTGATCTCAAGTTTTGACTTTTATTTTGTTTAACCGGGTAAAAACGTAATAGACCCAGGATAGTCTGATTTGCAAGAGTGACCCGGGGCATTAGTCTACCAGTAGGGGCGGGGGCGATGATTGCTTTGTATAATCCCAATTGAGTAATTTGCAGGCAATTTTCAAATTTGGGGCAAATATTTAGACCCCCCGACACTTGCTTACGAAATGTCCTGCTCTCGCGAATTACGCCACGGGAACTTTGACGGCCACTGCGAAGCGAACGGCGCCCCGTGGTGCTGTTGTCACTGTTCGTGCACCCGCTCACCTCCGCAACCGAGTGGCAAATGCGCCACCGCTGGGCCACGTCACCGCCCCCAGCCCTTTGGGTAAACGTGGGAATGCGTCATTCCGTGACGTATGCCCACTCCGTTGGGGACGTGTTTTACTCCCGTCACGGTGGAGTGGATGTGTGCGGCGTTGGGCACCGCGACCTCCGTGCGAGCCGTGCCGCCCTGTGACTGGATGCTCGCTGACAGTATTCGCCGCAACACTAAACGTGTCGAAAGCACACGGCCTCCGTGGCTATGCCAGCGGGATCGGCACGGTCGACAGCATGCACGGTGTCCAGAGGACAGACTTGGCAGCTCGCTTCAAAGCCGGGACGTCGGGGGGTGCACGGCAAAATCGTCGCTCCAGCACCTCGGATGGTTTCACTTTTCGCCGAGGGTCGTTTTTTCTCCGCTTACATTATTTGTTTTGTTCACGTCGGCGCATCGACGTTTTCATTGCGAGTGAATTGACATCGTGTTAGGAAGCCACCGGAGCTGTGCACTTTTAAATCGAGATTTTAAACAAAACATTTCTTTGGAACGGCTTTTTGTGTTAAGTTTGTTGTCCTTCGCCCCCGCACCTCTGATTAGCCACGGTTGGCTACGTACGGTGCGAAAGAAGTTCAACGTACATACACCATCATCATCGTCAGCGTCCTAATCAGGATGACACCGGTTCACGGTTGTCTGTCTCCATCACTGCCATTGTCAGTCGCTCACATTTTGCCAAATGTACTTCGATGGTGATCCAAGACGAGACCACCGCAGTGCACTTCTTCAGGAACTGCTGATTGTTTTTGCATGTTGCACGAAGGCCGAGTGCTTTTTACACAGCTGCCGACGTACGGTGCGAAAGAAGTTCCACATACATACATCGGTGTTTCCGTGGTGTTCAAAACATTTGGGTTTCCGGCCGGCACTACTATCCTGTTGTGGTGGTTGTTTTTTTTCATCGTTTACAGTCCTGAGTATTAGCCACGGCCAGCTGAAAGGAATATCTTTTGACTTTCATATAAATTACGAAGGCCGTTGTATTTTTCTGCAAAGAGAAACAGAAAAGCACGCACACGCACGCACACGGTCGAGCTGCCGGCCACAGGTTTGTGACGGTGTCTCTCGTCCGCTCGCCGTGAGAATGCCGTCGCGGTTGCAATGAGCTCAATGTTTGTTTTGTGTTCTCCCCCCTTTCTCGTCTGCAGTCCACGCCCTCGAGCGTAAGTGAACCCTCCACGGTTTTACTCGTGACGTCCCCCTTTGCACGCAAGGATTTTGATCCCTAACATCCCGACCCCTTAACCGTCGCGCCCGCCAGGCTGACCGCCGCTAATCCACTAACAGGAGCGCGACTTTGCGGCGAGGCTCGTAACGAGCATGCGTGACGCGGCCGTGCCGTATATGCAGCAGCGGTGGCTCGGCGTTTCGCCGTTCGAGCCATCGTGTACCGCGTGTGAGCCACACGTAAAACCCTGACGCCGACGAGCTGGGTGCAGTTGACTCAAATTTGAGTAAGCTCGGACGGTGTGTGCGCGCAAGTTGAGGTTTTAAATTTTTGGTGACCACTCAGCCGGTCCCATCACGCGCAGCAGCAGTAGCAGCACGCTCTACGATCGCATCGGTGTCTTAGTGTGGCTCATGGAGTGTTTTTAATTCCGCTGGATCGTAACCCGATAAAAAATCCATCGAATTTGTGCTTTGTTAGAGGCCTTGTGCACAAGCCACTCTTGTAAACTAGTGACGGTCAACTCGTTTGGCACTCCTGGTGCCATCCCGCCAAAGCAGCTGTGCGTGCGGCGCAGTGGTGACGCTCACGCCTCGCGGCAACAGAGGGCCTGGGTTTGAGTCCCGACTCGGACACCTTCCTTTGTGGAGTTCGCGTGTTCCTCCCCCTGTACTGCAGAATGTGAGTGGGTGTATGAATGCGTGTGGGGAGCAGTAGTGTAGTTGTTAGCGCGCTGCGCTACTAACCCAATGACCCGAGTTCGATTCCCGCTCACGGTTCAACACCAGGAAGGATTATTTGAACCGGTCCTTGGCTTCCCATAGGTCGACTCAGCCTCAAATGAGTACCTGGTGTGATGTGTAAATATTGCCACTGGGGAGACAAAGGCGGCTGGGTGTGGTGCTGGCCACCAACCCCCTTTTGTGCCGTTCCGGCCTTAATAGCTGCTCGCTAATAGCACTTACCCCAATAGTTATGGCTATATGGAGGATCTTTGTCTTTGAATGTGAGTATGTGAGCGAGTGTGGAGCTGTATATTTTCCCCCCTGTTCTGTATGGGTTTCCTCCCGGTTCTCTGGTTTCCTCCCGTAGTTAAAACAACCTTCGGTGCAACTGGTATTGGTCACACATCCCAATGCTCAAAACTTTCCTGCACAGGACTCAACTGGGATCGCACGCAGCAGCAACTACAACCCCCTATTGAGAAAAACCTGGCAGGACCCTCGTGAAAAAAGTCTTGAGGCTTCCCTGGGTAAACAAGCAAAGTAAAAATAAAGTGATACTCATTGTGATGGTGGTGATGATGAATGAATCACCATGGTGATGTCGATTTAAAAATATTGTAATTCAATCGTCCGTCAATAAGTGTCCCTGAGGAGTGATGGAACGGTGGATCGCGTGCTACGCTGTGAACCCGGCGACCCGAGTTCGATTCCTGCCCATGGCCAAGAGCAGTGGCGAATGTCTTAACCACTCCCGGGCCTCCGTTAGGTCGACTCGACTTAAAATGAGTACGAGGGAAACAGCCGCCTTGGTTGCTGGCTTTAGTAGGTGCTCCCTACGGTCTGATGAAGCTGTACAGGGGATCTTTGTCTCGGAGCTACAACGACCGTCCCTTCGCTGCAATGAGTGTGTTCATCCACTCTCCAAGTAAGGCCACGTGGTGTTGAAAACTGTTTTTTATTTCGTAAAGGGGACTCATTAAGCTGACTTTTAATTAATTGCTCGTTCATGCACTGCTATTGGTTGCCACGTTACAAGTAGGATGACAAACCACTCTGCAAACAGCATCATGTTTAATCACCGTGGCTTGGATATTAGCCGTTCGCTGCCATTATTAATGTACAGGGATTCCTCTACTTACGACACGAGTTAGGTTCCAGAGGTCTGTTCGTAAGTTGATTTGTTTGTAAGTTCAACTTTTCTCCTGTCGATTACAAACGTGTTGTACGGCATGTACACTCAACACGAGGAATGGCTTTAAACGTTGTATAATCTCCTATAGATGTAGATGCCACCGGTTCTTCATTTTCTGCAGGTGTAGATGCCACTGGTTCTTCATTTTCTGCAGATGTAGATGCCACTGGTTCTTCATGTTCTGCAGATGTAGATTCCACTGGTTCTTCACGTTCTGTAGATGTAGATGCCACTGGTTTTTCACGTTCTGTAGATGTAGATGCCACTGGTTCTTCACGTTCTGTAGATGTAGATGCCACTGGTTCTTCACGTTCTGCAGATGTAGATGCCACTGGTTCTTCACATTCTGTAGATGTAGATGCCACTGGTTCTTCACGTTGTGTAGATGTAGATGCCACCGCCGCCATCTATTGCGTGGTGGTTGAACTTCCGACTCTCGGTCCAAGCAGGCAACTGGACATACGGACAGGTTTGTTAATATTTCAGAAAGTTCGTAAGTCGAATGTCGAGTCCCTGTATATACTTTACGTTAAGTCAATGCGGGTTCAACAAAGATTAACGGTTATCTTTTGAATGTCAACAGTGGTGAGTTGAGCGCACGGACTGATAAAGATCAACATTTGACCCTACGGACCTTGCACATGGCAATCGGGAAATTCACGGCATGCGAGGCACGGACCTGTCCCATCCTCGTGAGGGGTCGTCGGCAAACCGGACCGGGGTACAAGCTACCAAGTCCACAGCAGCGTATGGGCGGGGGGGGGGTACAACGCACACACACTCCCATACCACACCATCACACGCACTGCTATACCACACCATCACACACACTCTCCCATACCACACCATCACGCACTCCCATACCACACCATCACACGCACTCCCATACCACACCATCACACGCACTGCCATACCACACCATCACACACACTCCCATACCACACCATCGCACGCACTGCCATAACACACCATCACACGCACTGCCATACCACACCATCACACGCACCACCATATCACACCATCGCACTGCACTGCCATAACACACCATCACACGCACTGCCATACCACACCATCACACGCACCACCATACCACACCATCACACGCACTGCCATACCACACCATCACACGCACCGCCATACCACACCATCACACGCACTGCCATACCACCATCACACGCACTGCCATACCACACCATCACACGCACCACCATACCACACCATCACACGCACTTCCATACCACGCCATCACACGCACTGCCATACCACACCATCACACCCGATCGACACCATTCCAACCATTCGCCGTAATCTGCACGACCTCATCCCTGCCTATCAGAGATCTCCAGATAGACGGTCGGACGAGTGCGGACGGACGGACAGACACGTTTTTTTTTTAAACATCGCATTGCTGGGTTAACCTTCGGAACGTGGAATTTCCATCTCCCTGTCCCTGGGGCTGCCAATGGTCGCGAGCGTCCTGCCGTGCTCACTCGAGCGCGGAGACGCTTTGACGTGCGACGCAGAGCCGTGCGACGCAGAGCCGCGCGAGGGGTCGTAGCGTCCGTCGCACTCTGCCCGTGCGAGCGCCGCCCGCGATAATGGGGGTAGTTCAAGCATTCGCTGCCACCCCAATAAATTCCCGGCAGTGGTTCTGTTATTGTATGACTTGCAGTGGGAGTGCGAGGCATGTGGGTTAATGCTCCTACGGTGCAGAAATGCGGCTGCCGTGGGAGTAGACTTGGCACGCCGTTCTTGGCTTGGGCTCCACTGAGAGGGAAATGAACACGTGCGATCGTTTTTTGTGCCTCGTGTGTGTGTGCGTGTGTGTGTGTGTGCGTGCGTGCGTGTGTAGGTAGTGGAGAGGGGTAGCGTAGCGGTTAGCGCTACGCTGCGCTACGAACCCGGCGAGCCGAGTTCGATTCCCGCTCGCGGCCAACACCGGTGACGATTATTTGGACCGGTCCTTGGCCTCCCCTAGGTCGACTCGGCCTCAAATTAGTACCTGGTGAGGTGTGTAACATCATCGCCACTGGGGAGACAAAGGCGGTCGGGAGTGGTGCTGGTCACCCACCCCCCTGTGTGCCGTGCCGGCCTTCATAGCTGCTCGCTAACAGCACTTGTCCCAACAGTCTGTTAAGGCTGTACGGGGGATCTTTGTCTTTGTGTAGGTAGTTGTATTTCATGTGCGTGCTCTGGGGAACTCGGAAAATGAATAGTCTGCCGCAGAGTAAAAGCTAAAGAACCCGTGACTCAATTTGTAGGGCAGGCCTCGGCTATTCATTGCTTTGCCTCAAGGGTCCTATATTAGAAAATTACCTGCACCTAAGTTCTACGCGCGGTAGAGTGATGGCCCTGATGGTTAGCGTACTGCGCTATGAGCCCAGAGACTCGACGTCGAATTGCTGGCCACAGCCACCATCAGTCACGAGTTATAAGGGGCGCCGCGGTGGCTAGGAAATGTTAATTGCCTCGCCTGGTATACAGGAGGTCGTGGGTTCGATCCCGACCCCGACGCCTGCTGTATGTTTGAAGTTTGTGTGTCTCTCTCGCCGTGGTAGCGTGGATTTTTCTCCGGGTCCTCCGGGTTTTCACTGCAAAATACTTGTGCATTTAGAAAAATGCACGAGTATTTGGCTGCTTTCAATTTCCAAATGATAAGCCACTTCTTTGAGCTGTCAGTTGTGGCCAGATCGCTTCTGCAAAAGAGCTTAATAGCTCAGTGGTAAAATAAAACTAGTTTACATCTGAGCCGGTTCTGGGTCACCGCTTTCATCCAACCGTGGTGAAGTATGGTCAAACAGCCCCCGCGGCCGGGCATAGCACGTGGAGGACTTCATCCAGCAGCGGATGGACAATGGCTGTAAAATGTAGTGTTGTGATGAAGCACATTGTCCCCATCGTGCCTACTGTGAGCAGAGAGCCCTGTGACTTGTTTAAGACGGGGGCTTCTCAAAGGCAAACTGCCCCGGGGCAAAGGCTTTCGCTCGGGATGTGTAACCGCGTTCAACAATAATGTAAAAATACGCATCATCGCAACACATTCCATCGAACCACGCCGAGGGGCCTTACAAGACAGCT